CCCACTAATCTGACTGCCACGGTGAGGGGGATTAAAATGCATTGCAAGTTATTTTTTCACTGAAATGACTTTACTTGATTTCAGACGTTGGCGGACCACACCGACATTTGTTTACACTGTGGGTTCTCTGTTTAGCCTAACTGTATTTAAATTCATCAGGTGTTTCTTCTCTTTCTTCATCTTTCTTAATCTCTTGAGGTTACACAATGGTTGTTCTGATTCATGGTCCTGGTGGCATGTTTATTTCGAACAATCAACGAACTTTTACTGTCTAGTCGTGCAGCCGTTAAGTCAAGTTGTTTACCAATGGTCATATCAGACGATGATTATCAGCTTTTCAGTACCGATTTAATGACTGGTCCACAAATACTAGACTACGGAGAAGCAGTTAATCTTGTTCTTAAGCCAGGCTTTCCCTAATTTCGATACGCTTGAAATTGACAGTTAGGACATGCATCGACGATTCGGCATGCTGTCCAATCTGCTAAAGCCCTATTATTTGGTTAAAAAAGTCATATAAGTTGTTGAATTGTCATTCATGTTATTTCTCATTCTTAATGTAGTATCTGTTGAGGAAAATTAATTTATCATCCGTTTATGACATGTTTCAGCTCAGAAATATTTTGACAGATGTTGAACAAATATTTAAACCATTGAGTTTTCACGAAGCGAAAACATTCCAGAAAAAAGCTCTGGAAAGATGGGAACAAAAACTCTGACTGTTAGTACCTGACTTTTTCCAGTGCATCTTTCTAGATCACACTTTTACGATGACACCGATTCGTTGATTTTCTCAGAAGTGTCCGCCGTGACTACAGTCACTTAAGCCTTTGGTGCATGACCATTATTTATTTATTTTATTTGATTGTATCTGACTGGACATCAACGTGAAGAAGCTCTTTATTCTGCGTCTCTGCTCTCTCAAAATGTCCTATGAATATAATATTAAAATGAGAACTATAAAAACTTATGCGTGATTGCATAGGCATCCACAAGATAGTTTTTCTGATTTGTCTGATGCGTTAACGATGAAAGATATGCAATCTTACATAAAATAACATTAAATATAATCCGATGTTATGGAGTAGCCACGCGAATGGCAGCATTCCATTTCTGCTAGTAAATAGTGCATTTCAGTTGCAGAATTTACACGGTGGCAACGCGTTGCCGCGCCATTACTTCAAGTGTAATAGGGGGCCATTTAAGCGGGTCATCGGCTCCGTGGTATTTAAGCGCATGCGATGCATTTTGTGAATGATTTGCCTACGGAAAGTGGGAAATATTGTTGGTACTCTATTGTTTTTGTTTAAATTTTCGTCATCTGTGGTTAATGGAGCTCAAACAGCAGAGTAACCCAGATTTATGATGTCTGATCGTTAGAAATGGTACTTCAGATTGATATTAGGCAAAGTTCATCGCTGCGGCAAAGGTCATATTCCTGTCTGTATGCAGATTTGCTTTAAAGACATATTTCCGCTTTTTCTGCTGATACACTGACATGCCCTTGTCCAGAGACGCGGTTCTTGCGTCAGATGCACTGCAGGCACTTAAATTTCCCTTCGTCACCAGAAGCAAGGGACGGTGTATTGTCGCCGTGTAAATCCGGCAATAGTAACTGCAACGTGAAAGGAAACTTGCTCTTTATTTTAAGTAACGCAAGATGGTAGCGAACGAGAACCGAATCGCTTCGTTCGTTCTTTTGTGAAGGTGCCTTGTTTTGCTTCTTACCTCCTTCAAAGTTGTTTACATATTCTGCGTTTGCCTCAAATACGGGGTTAGTTGTTAGCTTAAACCACAGGTCTCGCATTCGATCAAACAGGATTCATTGAATAGCGTGACTGCAAACTGAATGAGCTTAAAATAGGATGCAACGCTTGACGTTTTTTCCGTCCTTGGCGTGCTGATGTCTTGAGCTCTCTGTAAACTCAGCTTCTTATCCCCGTCGTGGCGGTAGGCAACTCACAGAGTACGGGATCGCATTTTACTGCAAAAAATTATGTTCTTTTCTTTCGTCACTTGAATGTCTCTCAGGAACGATAGAGTAACGAAGTAGAGGCAACCAAGGGAAGGCAGATCACTTCAAGTGATGAGGACAATTCTATCTGCAGACAGTATGCTGTAACTGTTCCATCACGTGTGAGGAGGAGATGCCTCTCATTCATGTCATTTTAGTCGCCATGTTGCTGCATATGTTGCTCTACTCCCTAAAGAAAATGTGAAGGACACAATTCATATGGTACCTTTAAGGTGAGGTAATAGGTTCACGGCTTTGATTATTCGCTAACTTCGTCGCTCATCTAGAAAGCGATCTAAACCGCTGAAATGTCTCTCTTTATTCGCAAGTTAGAGGGCAATGTGATTCATCATTTCGACTTGAGAACACCAATATGCAAATCAGTCTTTAGTGTACTCAAACATGCCTAAAGCGCTTCTGTTCAATGACAGCTACGTTTCACTACGTGAGGTTGTCAGCCTGTTGCACATTTTTTCATTGATCATCAATTTTCAAAACATTTAAAGCATGCGCTCCACAGAGTGGCTTTCCTATTCATTAGTCTCATTAAGTTTATTAATTACATCCGTTGCTGAAGACGGTCGATACTTCGTCGTGCCTCTAGGCGCTCTGCTTTCTAATTGACATTCTACTGAGAAGAGGATCACTGAGTCAAGGCGCACGGCTATTACTGAAAAGTTCGCGATCTGCCCATGCCATTATTAGGAACCGTAAGTGCGTAACTTCTTCATTAATGCATAACATAATAATTATTCTCCATGCATAATATCTTCACTGAATTTTCTGAAACTTCAGAAGAAGACGAAACAGAAAAATGTCTTATACTAAAATCGTTTAAGCCTCCAACACCTAAAATGCATGCAAACTATATGTATGATTTTTGCATATTTATCTATATATTTCATAAGTTTTCACAGGCTGATATTTTTTGATCGCAGATACAAAATCCTTAGGAAGTTTTTCTGTGGACCCGGCCCCTGTCAATCCGATGAGTTTCACGACTGGAGTTCAGCATGGGGTGATACCAAATATGCCCAATTCATTTGCTAGCGGCCTCCTTTTGGGTTACCTATTATGTTACTGTTGAGGAGACTAATATGATATCCATGTTTCAGCACACTAATTGTTAGCTGTTTCCAAGGGTTTTGCAAACCAGAAATAACTGTTGCCTCTCCGTCTTCCAACGTTCTATTAGAAGGAACATGTAGATGACTTATGCCTCAATTTGTAATTAGCGTTTAATGATAGAAGTGTTTTACTCTTTAAAAATAGGTCAGTCAAAGATTTATGCCATGATCAAAATCCGGCTTTCAAATAGTTTTTGACATGTGCTTATATAGTTGTTTTCTACGGAATAGAATTTACCTGTAGGTACAAATAAAGCAGCTGGTAGCACAAAAAATATCAATATTTTTTAAGCAGTTTCTAAAATGACATTTCAGTATTCATGATATGATTGGTTGACGTCTGCTGTGTTAGTAGTCAGTTCAGAGTGAATACTTAAAGTGAGTGAAGGACTCACAGCTGAAATGAGCAGAACGACTAGCTGATTTTCCGTTTCATCGTACTGGTTTCTCGGTGTCTCGCTTAGAACTCGTAGGAGAATAGTAATATCGAAATTGGTCTTTGCTGATTCAAGAAAATAATTCTGGCGGCAGGTGGAATATTTCTTAAATGCGTCCATTTACTGTGTTCTTGAAGACGCATTAGCTATCTTGAATTAAATTAGAATCTGGAGTAATTTCCACCTTTCATAAGAACAGATAGATGCCGTCTGGCTCCAAACGTTAAAACAGCTGTCAGCGTCTCAAAAGAACTTATGAAGCCAACCGGCGTCTCTCTACCATAACGAAACGTTTGCCATACTGTTGTTTTCGGTAATACGGACAGCTAATAATTTGTAGAATTAAATATAGAAATCAAGCAGCAGGAAAGAATATAAGGGCTCCTTAAAAATGTGAGAACAAACGAATCTACTTTGGAATCTACCTCGTGGAACTTACGAGACTTTGCCGTTAGTCACACATCCCCTAAAGCAAGCTCTGAAAATGGACAAGCTGAAAGAAATTGCGAGCAGCATTCAGTTCAGACTTCGTTGTGCGGTTCTCAAACCATTCCAGGGCATCGGTTTCTATCACAGCTGTTTGTATACCATATACGTGATGTCCGGCCGGTTATTTCTATAGTCTTTAGAAGTTGCACAACTTCCATTCATTACCCTAATCAGGTTCAAATTATGGTATGCAAGTTTATCGGTGCATTTTTTCTTTAGCGTCACAATCTGTTGTCACGAAGGTGCTAGAAATGATCCTGCTGACGAATGCAAAACGGCAATGTCTGGTGTGAAGTTTCAGAAACAGTACAATAACCGATCTTCCCAGAGGAATAACTCTGCGTGTGTCCGCAAAATTTGCAAACAATCTGGCCTCCTTGTCCCAATATGAGAGTCCCCCCCCCAGAACCTTTCCTGAATTCTTCATCCTAAAGGATATCCAGTAACATGTTGATGTGGACGCAGCTTCACCCACTTCTGCAATTATTTCTCGTACTATAACTATAAATCTAATGCGTAAACTTTGAACCAAGAGTGCAAAGAATTATCCTTTAAATTAGTTGAGGAGTTATCGCCCTTAAATTTTAAATTATTCATATAATTGGTATATTTCGACATGTTTCATTAAGCCAGCAATGCAGAT